AAAAAAATTGCAAAAGTGTTTGCTGACTTCTGAGAGAGACAAAGGAGGCTTCGTTATGATTCACTCTCCTAGTTAAGAAAAAATAGCTTCCTCTCTCTGTGTGCCTCTGTTTCTCCGCGATAACAGACAGCTCATGTCCCATAGGGCACTTGGAGCTCTCTGAAGAAAATGATTTTCAGTTACCAGGTTCCCTGTTGTGCATTTCCCACTTTTATGTAGATCTTTAGTTTTGCTAATTCTTCCTCAGATCTTGGCTAAACTTCCTACAAGATTCGCTTTTAAACAGCTCGTGGAGATCCCTCCATGATGGCTACATGTTTAACTGGTTGTCAGAAACTGCTAGTGCTGGGCTGCAAGCTCTCAGATTTTATACATTTCAACTTTTGTTTCTTGGGGTCATGAGACTGAACAAGAAATTCAGCAGTTTCTTTTTCTTTAAAACAGTGAGACTATAACCTTTGATCTTGCAGTGAGAAGCTGAGAAGCCTGCCCAGGGTGTAATCTTGACGCTCAAAAAGCAGAAGGAAAAAGAGGAGATAAAATTGTCTGATTCTTTCAACTGATCTTACGATGTTTTTGAGGTCTCAACATTATTAAAATTTGGCATTGGGAATGCTGGTACAGCACCCAGCTTTCAAGTAATGCCAGGGCAAAGGCATTTGCAGTCGTGTTACATGAAGGTGTGCAGGAGACCCAAGTTCCTCTTCTGCTCTGAACTGGCATAAAGCCAGCTCCTGCCCCAAACCACCGAACTGCAGAGATGTTGCGCTGCACCCAAATGCAGCCATCTGTCTCAACCTCTGTGCTCGCAGCCTCCAGCAACCCACAGCGCTGCTGCTTGTGACATGTTTATAAAATCTGATCATTCACGGAATGCTTTTCGATCTCTTTCTCTGAGCCAAAGAGAACTCATCTCTGTGTTTCTTTGCCTGTCATTTCACGAGTCAAATCCTCCACCGGTGTATGCGGGAACAACACTGTGAAAGTCGACATGGTTACACCAACTTAAACATGCCAGACCCCCATCTTGGGTTGACGCTTTCAATGTGCTGCAGAGCCGGGGGCAGTGGGGAGGGAGGAGGAGGCTACCGCACACTCAGATTTGAGCAGGCGGTGATTTGCTCCTGCTGCCCCAGGAAAGCTGGCTGGTGCACTGGGGGGGAGTATGGTTTGGCCTTCCCTCGCGTGGCACAGATGCCATGGGTGCAGTGCCCAGCACGTACCTGCAAGTCACAGCTGTCCCCTCCCTCCACTTCTGTCTGAGGAGAGGTAAAGAGTCCCTGTTACCTGCTGCCAGCCTATAAGCTCCCAACTCATGACTGTGCACAATGAGCGCTACAGAAAGGGTTATTTTAAGCGTCTCTGCTGTGCAAGAAGCCACATCCTCAGTATGACTAAAAGACACCTGAAAGCACCTCTGTGCAACCAGATGCAGGAAGAAGAAATGTCACTCGAGGCTCTGCGTCCTCCAGTCACTGCCATCTGCAACAGCCCCTGAGAGCAGTTATGCCAGCTGCCTGGCAGCTGTACAAAGCCACATATCAAAAAGGAAACCAAAACAGTGCATACAGCGTCCAACTGGCCGTAGAAAGATTAATGGGGCAGCTTTGCCCACCCACCCTTTGCCTTCGTGGGGCCCGAATCCCTCCATCCAGAGGCTCATAACTTCAGCAGTCCCACAGTTCCAATTGCCATTGTGCTGCCCAGTTTCTAAACAACGGGCTGAATGCACGGCCAAGCCACACACCCTTGCGCCGGTGAGAGCTCCAGCAGTAAGCTGCAGGGGAAAAACAGGAAGCAGAGTGAATTTCCATGAGCTCCAACTAGCAGAGCCAGGGAAAAAATAGTTAACAACTCCTAGGGCAATAAATTCCTTCCTGCCCCACCGCCTTCTCTCTCACCCACTCCTCTTAAATCATCTGGTTTTCTCTTGTGGGAGCGAAGAAAAGTCAACAGTCAGGAAACCTTTTGATCTGCAATGATTACACCTTCTGCAAAGCTTGCACCTTTGCCTCTCTTTTCTTTTCTCCCTCTCCCTATCCCCCTTTCCGTTTCGTAACTTACCATATGGAAGATTCCTAGAGCGACTGTTGCTGTCTTGATGTTGAAGAAGCAACATTTTGGGGGCTCAGTGGCTGTTTGGGCAGACATTTTTTGATTCCTTTGCACAGCTATGAGTTAATGCAGTTGAATTGGCAGCAACTACCCTACTGAAAAGCGAACCGAGCAATGTAGTTCAGCTTCCTTCCTGGTCTACAAATGTGTTAAGTCATCTACAAAGTCACATGAGGTCTTTGATTTCTCAATATTAAGGAAAGCAAAATTGTGTTGCTTTTCTGAAAGATCTTTAACTGCTTGTGCTTCCCAGATAGCAACCGTAAGCACAAATGCTGCTTCGTGCAGGTCGTGAGCAAGGTGTACAGGGAGAGAAGAGCTATGAAGCAGGATACACCTTTGTCCTATAAAATCATCAGAAATCAAAGCAGGGGGCCAAGAATTTCACCTTAAACTTGACCCATTGTTTTTGCAGTGAAGCATCCAAATTCCTCAATTTGAAGCAGCTCATTCCTTGCCAGCTAGCTCGCTATTGCTCCTTGGCCGAGATGCATGAGAAACACTGGTCTCTGGGCCCAAAAGTACAGTGGAACTCTGAGGGTCAGGGACCTTGGCTGATGGGGGACATCTGCAGATCTGCTCCCTGTTTGTGGGTTAGCTGTTGTGTTTTGTGTTAGTCAGCCCCTAGATAAGAAAAGTAACAAAAAGAACAGAAACCAAGGATCACTCTAAAGTGACTTAGCCACAATGAAGTATGTCAGACTGTCTACTGCATTTGAACATATTAAACTGTGCTCTTGTCTACATATTTATTACCATTCTCATTAAAATCTGCTTTTTTCTTTCTTCCTTTTTCCCCTTTCCTCACCTTGTGGGAGAGAAATGCTGTGATTTAGAGCTGAGGAGCAGGTTAATTTGTTTCTGGTTTCCTAGGAAAGGGCTCTTGTGCAAAGGGAGGGTGGCAGTTCTCCAGCAGCTCTGAGTATAAATGCAGGTAAATGAAAGGAGAGAGTTGGGCACACTCTAAACAAGCGGTTAGTGAACTCGGGTGTAAGGATGCCTTGTTTCAGCAACTCGAGCACACTCAGTTTATTGTTTCATTCTCCTAGGAGCCTTTGCCTCACAATTGTAGTGTTAAGGCTTTACACAGCTTAGACAGAGAGTTTTCTTGATTGTTCTTATGAACTTAAATGCACAAATTCCACCTCAAAGCCGTGAAACGAATGTTTTGTACCCCATCTAACCTGTAGAAAGTACTACATGTACAGGTCTGTTATGGGAGGTACATTGGAAACCTTCAGGCTTTGTAAATGGATGTTCCCAAATGGCATGGACGTCCCACAGAGCCACAATTTTAGCCCAATGGTTTTGGGTAGTGCTGGTGTGAAATATGAGGAACTCAATGCCGCTGGAGGCGCTGCATCTGAGATAAGAGTAAATTTATAACTTAAATCAGCTTATCTATAACAGCTTGGCTATGCCTTTATGTCCAGCTTCCCCCTCCAGAGCCAGGGATCTCTGCAGCACAAAAGATATTTCAGGGCAGGGCAGGGTCAGTGTAGCTGGGCCCTACTGCATACTCCCATGGTTTTCTTTGGAATCTCACCAAATTCAGCAATGTATTACTGAAGTCCCAGGTTTCAGAGTCACGTGGTTCTTCCTCCCGCCTTCCTTTTTTTAAGCACACTTCTGAATTTCCCCCTGCCTTGCAGTTGTGGGAAATTGTTTGCAAACATGAACTAAGGGCAGCTGAACGAAGAAGGTGAGGGAAAGGACCCTTCTTTTCGTGCTGTTTGGTGATTACACTGCTTTTTAGCCAATCTCATAACAGGGCAGGGGCAGGAGATGACCTCATACTCCTAAAACACTCGATGGCAGCACAGATCCTGCACTGTGGTTGGCAGAAGGCTGAAAGCATCCTTGGGGTACCCCTGGTGACCAGTGCGGTGTCGGGGCCTTACGCTGCAGTGGAGCAACTTGGGCTCTCTGCCATCCTGCTGGTTCAAGAGCAACACTCAAAGCCTCCGTGTCCCCCCGCTCTCTCTTCACCGTGGGCAGTAGCACAGCCCTAACCTGATGAGATCCTTGGTGTGTCAGGAGCTACTTAGTGAGGACTCCTAGAAGGGCTCAGACAGCTCAGGAAACCTGTAATAAAGGGAGGACAGAGCCTATTGCAATTACAGTCCCATATATGCTGTTTTCCTGGCTTCCTGGCAGGGGAGTTGCCCACACTTGGGCCACAGCCATGCTTTTTTGAGTCAGGAGTGCAAAAAATCTGGCAGAGCCTTGGGAAAGGATCTTTCTTGCAGGTGTGATTGCAGCCACGGGGTGTCTCCGCCATGCTGAACGATCCTGGCAAGGGAGCTGTATCCAGTCAGAGACAATACGTAACACCTAGTTTATCCGGTTTACGTCTCATCCCTATTCACTTCCAAAAATATCGGTGACATAAGCACTGTGGCTCCTATATGTACTAAAGCAACTTGCAAAGGGCCTTCTTGCCTGGGAAGAGTCTAACCAAGACTTGTGAAGAAGCACAGGAAAGAAGACACTCGAAGGCGGAATATACTGGGAGAAAGTGAGAAAACTGAGTCAGTTTTAAGTCAGCTCAGTGTGCATGGTCGGTCAAGTGTGTTTTATTTAGGTTCAAGTCTATGGCTTCACTTTCAGATGGGAATTCCCTTGCAAAACCCAGCTGAGACTACACCACTGGGCCCATAGAAAATTGTACTTGCAAAGACTAAACAGACACTTGCCTTTCTTTTTCCACACAGCTTTCCATCCAGGGGTCCCAGCCCCTGCTCCACAAAGGTGGGCAGGCCACGCTATCCCTTTTCTACAGATGTGAAACTGAGGTACGCAGAGATGCCTCTGTTCAGGGCCTTGCAGCTGGCCAGAGGAGAACCGGGAAAGTAACCCATGCCTACTGATTCCCAGGCTGTTCAGTTTAGGAGGAAAGACTTCATTGCAAGAAAAACACGAAATTTATAGCCTCTGAAATTACAGTGTTGGCAAAAGATGGCAACACTGTAACAGGTTATATATTTCTGCAATCAATGCCAGACCTGCCTAGTTTCTGAACAGCTCCGGATTTCAAGGATACGTTTTTTTATACATAGAAAATTAAAAGTATGTTTGGTCTCACTCCTTCCTGGTACAAGTTTTTACAGATTCTTCCTCTTTTTCCATCAGGATGAAGAATCAAGTAACTTCTGCAGAGCACAGCTATAGGTATCCTGCAGCTTCCTTCCTTCAAATGCAAAGGCAAAACTGCAGCAGCAGCCAAGAAGTGCTCCTTACAGTTAGGTTTTACTCATTTACAGAGGTAAAGATTTTATCATGCTTTATCACAGCGCCGAAAGGTCTGGGCTGAAGCCCCCAGGATGGCATCTCCTGTTTGTTGAAAAGCCAGATCTTTCTGTCAGTCCTTCTTTTAGTATGAAGGGAAATGTTTCCAAAGCTCTTTAACCACTGAGGGGGTTTCTTTTCCTTTGTTTCAAGTGCAGTTGCTGAGGTCTTGTTGATTTGTTTGCTTCTTTCAACCAAACAAAACAAAAACCCAGCCACTTCTCCTGGGAACTCGTGATCTCTGTGCCCTGCTGGTGGGTGTTTGGGAAACTCCGTGCACCACTAGTCTTCCCTGTTACGTTAATTTCCCTAATTTTAGGAGGGGTGAGGACCTGTCGGGGGGTCAGGACCTTGCTCTGCCCTGACCTTCTCACAGCCTAGGACAGGAGATATTTCTGCTGCTTCCCCCCTCAGCTGCTGCTTGCTCAGGTTGACACTCCTCAGAGCATGATGGCGCCTTGCTGGCTGCCTCTGCCTTGGAGCCCTCACCCTGACCAGAGCCTCTGAGAGACCCTGCGAAATTCATAGCTGCATGAAAACTTTGCCTTCCTGAGGTCACGACTGCAGCTGAATGCAGCCCCAAAAGGCCACCATCCCTCCAGGGCTCCAGAGATGTTCAACACTGAGGTAGTAGATAGCAACATTACCACCAATCTAAGTCTTGTCCATAAGGCTACAGCAAGAAAGCCCCCTACTAGTTATACAGTTTATACCGGCAAAATGAACTCTTTAAAGAGCACAACTTCTACCTTCCAAAATCAGCATAACCTAGAACAGCAAAATACCACTTCTGCAGGTATAAACGGCATTTCTGAAGATGGGAAGAGGCAGATTTACTGGAATAGTCTACCTACCAGGAGCATTCTTTTTTCCCTCCAGATACAAGTTAATGTTATGAATTCATACATGTAAGCATACGTACATGCATACATATATATTAGTTTTATCCCAAGCAGTGTCATGAATACGGGCTTTATTCTGGTGTTTCAGAGCTCCAGCTTCCCAGCCTTCCATGAAACCATCAGGTAAAGAGTTGAAGGAACGCAACATAAACGGGGAAGTGATGCTATATATGCTTTAATGGACCTCATACTGTGTTTTGTATGAATCCTACCACTTTTGGGGCAGTTTTACAATACATCGCTTGTGACTAATAACTAGTGACTTTCTGGTGTCACTTTTTGGTTGTGTCCATTCCGGCATGTTCTCTTCTGGCTGAAAATGAAGCTGCGTTAGCGCATTTCAGCCTGGCACACCTAACCCCTAACTCACAAGTCAACACCCCCAGAAAACACTGCTTGCTCACTGATCTCCGTATGGCTGAGGGACAGAAACAAGAAAAGGCTTGCCTTGGGTCCCTTGGCACATCATGGTAAAGGGCAGCAACAGCCTCTAGCTATTAGACAGAAAACATACTCCCGTTGCAGAGATTTACTGGTGGATCCACAGCAGAGCACAAAATTGAAATCTTTTCACACTCAGGGCTCAGCCAGAGACAAGGACTGAAGTCAGGGCAAGCGTCACCAGCACTGGAGGAATCACAGCTAAAGCCAAGTAAACCACCACAATAATGTCCGGAGCACCTCTAGGGGAATAGGGTTAAAAATAATATTTGGTTTTAAAAATTGATCTGTTTAAACCTCTTTCATTTACAAATCAGTTGCAAATACAGGCTTTGCTTTACCTACTCCACCTGAAATATATTTTCTTTGGGGGTTGCCTCCCCTCAGAGCCAGTTTGTGGGCCTAGCTGAATGAAGGTGCAGGAGGATCAAGTATTTCCTGCTAATATGAAAAGCTGGTTCATAATTTGAACCTGACTTTCCTTGAAA